CTGGTGCCGCTGCGCATGAGAGCTCCGCAAATGCATTACAAGATTCAATACTCGCCAAAGACGCGCGAAAGCGACGGCCGATGCGTTCCGTCCGATTCGCGGAGGAGAGAATTCCTCCCTAATCGGGGTCCCGGGACGAACACGTGCGGTTAGCGCGGCTGAAGCTAAATCTCTCGACGACCCAGAGCGCGGCGACGGTAGAGTGAGAGAGAGAGAGAGAGAGAGAGAGAGAGAGAGAGAGAGGGGGCGGTGGGGGGGGGAGAAAGAGGGAGCGAGTGCGTAACACACGATGGAAGTCCATAAATCTAATCGACGTCCACGGAAGCACGGACGCATGGGAATAGAAGAATAAAAAGGCGACGGCGGGCGAGGGGTTGAGCGAGAGATAGAGAGAGAGAGCGGGGGGGGAGGAGAAGAGAGAGAGAGAGAGAGAGAGAGAAGGGTAGAGAACGGGAGATAGGCGGGGTGGTTCGTTAAACGAGCTTAACGTGTGCCACCGTGGTAAGGCATTACTCTCGACTAACGGGCCGTGTTGCAAACCCTATTAGCAATATATTTTCCTCGGTTCGTCGGACCTCTGGCCCGCCATTGTGTTGCCGGCCGAACGGTTTACACGTTGTCGTTGGGAGCGCGTCGCGCGCGCGCCCGGTGAGATTTTCGGTCCCGTGGGCCGGAAGCTCGCTCTCGCATCGATCCCCATCTTGTTCCTCCGTGCCGAGCCTTGTAGACGCGGCAGATTTGCACGCCCGCCGGGCGAGATCTTCCCGAATTTCATTTCTCGGCCGAGCGAACGGGCCTCCCGTAGGGCGTCCAGACGCCGGCGGAACGGCGGCGGCGGCGGCGGCGGCCTGTTGATTTGCCCGCCGCCGCCGCCGACCTTTCCGGCCGCTTCGTTTCAGCCGGCGAAAAGTCGCCGCGCTGGCCGTCCGTGTCTGCCGCGCGATACGCTCTAGCGGCGGCGGAAAGGAAAGGAAAGGAAAGGAAAAGGGAAAAAGCGACAACCTAGAGGAAATAGCACTCTCGGACGGCGTTTCACGTATCATCTCGTGTCTCTCGTTTGTAACCGACCGCCGACGAGACGGCGACAAGGACGGCGGCGTATTCCCGCGCAGCTGCTTCTTTGTTCCGCATACGAGGTGGAATTTCTGCAAAAGTTCCTACCGAAAGCCGCGCTGAGGCCCGCATACGTTAACCTCGCACGGTCTCGCCGTCTCTCTTCCTCCTCTTCCTCTCTCTCTCTCTCTCTCTGCCTTTCCTCTCGGTCCTCTCATCTCGTTCCATCCTTCCGTCGCGCGAAATTCCGCGACAGAAGCGGCGGGTGTGGGATCCGTGGGTACGGATCGGCGGCTTACCCTTCGCCTACGTGACGCCACCACGACGATTCAGCGCTTCTCTCGGCGGAAGACACACTCGGCGGGAGAATCCCGCGAATCATATCCGCCGGCGGAAACACGAGCGCGAGTTCGGGCGGACGAGGTTGCGAGAGGTGTATCGTCTCGTCACGGGTCTCCCCCGAGCTCGGCTTTGTACGACTGTGGACTTTGCTTTTGGAATAGACGCGGCGAGGGTGCTGGAGAGGAGAGCTGAAGAGGGGTTGTCGATGCCGCGCGAGCTCGACGACGTAACGGACCGAATAGCAAAACAGCCGCGTACGCGTACGGACATGGCAATAAATATGTAAAACTCGGCCAGAGGGTGAATGGAAGATTAACGAGCGCTGTTCTCTCTCTCTCTCTCTCTCTCTCTCTCGCTCTCTCGCTCTCTCGCTCTCGGAGGGGGACGCGCGCACCGAGAGGCATGCTGGAAAAAAGCCCGCCGTCCCTATCACTGCGGGGTCGGGTATTCCCCGGCTACTTGCACGCTTCGCCGACACCGACACGATTAACGTCCCGAATCCCACGAGTGGGGTCGCTTTTTTAATCGGTCAGCTTGTAATCGCTCGATTATGTCGGTAATGTGCGTGTTAGAGTAACAATAATAATATGACAATATCGTGTACGCTGCAGCGCCGCGCTGCTGAATATTCATGAGATCAGTGTCCGTGGCAGCGATTTATTTCGTAATTAACCGTAGAAAGCTAGCGCGAAAGTTATTGCTAATTAATACTGACACCGGTTTTACGTGCACGTGATACGCCGTCGGGCGTCGGTATGGCGAGAGATAGACACACGGCGTGTAATGCACAGTGCATCGCTAATTGCCGATGTATAAAAGTTCATTACGGGCAATACGACGAGCGTCACTCTGCTCGCCGCCTGGTCGTTTCGTCGCTTAATTGCGAGCGCTGCTCCGCTGCGCGATCGGTAGGAAATTCAGCCGGGTTAGCCAGCCGGCGAATCGAGATGTCGAATCGCGAAGAGAAATCTGGTGGGAAAAAGTCCGCGAATAACGGACGCGACACGATAAGAGCAGTGGCGAAATAGAGAATATCGGCGGCGATATCGTGCAAGTGCCGAGAGATAGAGAAGAAGAGAGGGAGGAAGAGAGAGAGAGAGAGCGTGCGTTTCAGATCAGACGCGACTCACGTCCGCGCGACGTCGAGCGTCTTTCGGCTTTTCTCGCGAGCAAAGTCGATTGTCATGGCGTAACAATGGCGAACGTTAGGGAAGAGAAAGAGAGAATGAGGCGGAGGGAAAGGAAGAGGCGACGACGTCCCGGGACGACCGACGGATATCTTTCCGAGGGATAAACGCCGCTATAAAAGACCGTGAATGCCGGGTATTAGCGCCACTAAAGCGTCGCCCCGCACTCCGGCTCTGCGCCGCCCTGCGCCGCCTTCGGTGTAATCTCCGCCGAGATTACGACGTCCGTCTGCGGAATCCCGTGGGTGCCACGACGCTCCTGCACGGAGAACTTCTCCGGGCGAGCCGGAGCCGGGGGGAAACTCGTGCTCCTCGGCGTATCGATTCGGCGGTCGTATCGCGCACGCCGGAGACGGCAATTATTCGGCCGGCGATTATCGAATTCTTTGCCGCACGTCGCGCTAATTTAATCGCCCGGCCCGAGCGCGATATCTCTCTCTCTCTCTCTCTCTCTCCCTCTCTCTCTCTCTCTCGGAATACGTGCCACGAGAGGGACGCGTAATTGGTCGATTTGTTTTCGCGACCGGACGTGTACCGCGATATACATACGATAGTGATAATCGAAAGAATAATATAATTGCGAGTGAAGAGAGCGTGAACACGACCGAGGGAATAATAATTCCCTCTTTACGAGTTTACGAGAGAATGAGGAATTAATGATTCTTCGTAAAATATCAAGATTGGTGCGACCCACAATGGATTGCAAGAGGGCTTTAACGAGGACTCGCGAGATCCAAAAAAAAACCAGTGCAATAAAAAATGGAGTATATCGTCAACGACTCGTCGTCAGAGAACCGACTGTGCGTTTCGCTCGTCATCGCGGGTCTTCTCAGTTTCGAGAAAGGAAATTCTTGGAAAAATTATTGCACAAGAGGAACAATCGTATAATTTATACGACACTTCCACTTTTTATTTTACTCGCGGTCTTAGTGGATCTCGCAGTCGACATCTTACGTGGGCTCCCGTCGACCTTTGTAATCCACCGTTGATTAATTATTCCCCTCCGATAATGCCTCGCCCTTTCGCAGCGCGCCGGAGAATCGGAAGGAAGCCTCCGCCATTCTTCCCCCCTCCTGCTGCTTGGAAATTGGGCACGGGAGAGACGACGTAACGAACACGTTACGTCTTTGACACGTGCATCACGCGGCACTCGCGTTGCGTCCTCGTTACGTTTCATTCTCGTATCCTATCACGTGCTGCTTCTTAGCTTGGAACGCACGTTGACGATGCCTCCGTGGCTTGCATTTGCACGGAACACGTCCCGGAAATATCGGCGCGTACATAAACACTTCTACGATCTTCCGACTCGTGCTAGCTCGTCGTCTCGGAGCGAAGTCGATCCCTCGCGTGGCTTACAACCACCGTCGCGTGGATGGTCGCGATCAAGACGACTAGAGAGAGAGAGAGAGAGAGAGAGAGAGAGAGAGAGAGAGAGAGAGAGAGAGAGAGAGAGAGAGAGAGAGAGAGAGAGAGAGAGAGAGAGAGAGCGAGATACTCGCACACATGTCGGCGCGATGCCGCATAAAGCCCGCAACGTCGTCGCATATTTCGCCTCGTCTCGAAACCGGTCTCGCAGTTATCGAGCTCGCACTATCGAGTTTGCCTTTCCTACGGAAAGCTCTCTTCGCGGCTTCGTCGCGTCGCGTCTCGTCTCGTCGCGATCTTTTCTCGCATTTGCCGCGCTCGCCCGGAGGGGAGAGAAAGGGAGGATGCACGAATGAATGGAGCGGGCGCACAACACGTCGCGAGTAGCGTCGTTGCGACAATAGCCGAGGGCAATTTCCATCCGACATCCGGGCGACATATCGGGATGAGAATCCCGTGCCGGCTTGTTTGCGTTTATCCTCAATCCTGTATCGCGGATCGGCCGGGCGATGAAAGCGAACGGTGGAGTCTGGCGACGTCAGTCAGCTAAAGACTCCGCGTCGACCCGTAAACCATCCTGCCCTCTCCCCCCCCCCCCTTTCGTCGTGGCTCCTCGTTCGGCCCATTACGAACGGCCCGGGGCCACGACGTCTGCGCGGTGCCTCTTTTCCACGCGGAAGCACTCTTTTCCTTGGCGGTTGATGAGAAAAAAACAAATACTTACGGAACGAAAGAGCGCGGCGCATCTCGGACGTGAAATGTCCGCTTTGGAACGTCACGCTGCCGAATATTGTTTTTTTTTTCATTTATCGCGCTCGTGGCACCGAATTGTTAAATATTAATTTTTCAGTTATATCGGCCTTATAATAATAATAAATCAGTCAATCAGTTTTGCATGGTAAATTTATTAAAATGCGTGACGAGCGTGACAAACGCCCGTTGCATCAATGTCGACTTTATGAGAATTAATCGGCCGTTACTGTACGAATGCACGCGACAGCTGGAAAACGCGCGCGCGCGTCGCACTCATGTGTCTTCGTTTTCTGCCTACAGTGCCACCGGCGAAGCCGATAATCTATGACACGAAGAGGCGAGACATGAGCAAACTCCTCGAGGCTTATCCGGAGGGAACCGACTTGTTCCTGGTGTGCGAGGTGCACGGCGGTAAGTGTCGGCTGTGACGCGTCAACAATTTCATTCGCGCGCTCTCTCCGAGATATCTCAATAAATACACATTCCGGGAGAGAGACTGAGAGAGCCATCCACAGTCCTCCGATCCTCTCACGGAGTCCGTTGAAATTTCTTCTCGCGGACTGGAGACCGAATGTTCATTTTCTCGCGTCTCTACCCACGAGAAATTCAGAGAGTAGATTCGAGATCGTGACGGAACTTCGCGTTAAAACATCACGAGGGGCGTTTCGCCGGCCACCAAGTACCGCGGCAAACTACCTTGACTCACGACGCGCTTTGCCAACAGATATCGACTCGCGCGCTCAGGTCGTGACATGTAAATTTTTTGATAACGGGAGTGGGTGTGGGGTATACGAGGTTTGATCAGAAAGTAACGAGAATTTTTAATTTTCTCGGAAAGTATTTATTTAATCTTCAATGTTTGTGTCCCATCTCCTTCAAAGTAGTCCCCCTGTGATATTATACACTTATGCCAACGTAGTTGCCAGTTTGAGAAACACTGGTGGAAACACGCCTCTTTAGGTATCGTCTTCAGCTGGATCTGCGATTTCGCCTTTGTCTCATCTATTGTTGAAAAACGTTGTCCTTTGAGTGTCCTTTTGAGTTTGGGAAATAGGAAAAATAGATCACAGATGGCCATGTCTGAGGAGAATAAGGTGGCTGCGGCATCACAACGGTGTTGTGCTTCGCCAAGAACTGTTGGATAAGCAAAGCGGTATGCTCTCTGATGCGACATTTCGCCACACAAAAGATCGCCAAACACACTGAAGTACGTCTTGCTCATTCGCTCGCCAACACACAAACTAAACGTCGCAGCTGCCTGAGAATTGACACTGGTACGTCACTGGTAGTGCTACCAACACACCAAAAAGGGTAAATATATAGAAAAGGGTACACCTCACCGATTTTTTTCATTTTGAAATATGTTATAAAGGATGAAATTCTGAGTGACTTTTCTTAATACAATTATATGGGGGTCGCTTATAGTTTCTGAGATATTTGGCTTTAAAGTTTTATAATTGTACGTTGAAGTATATTTGAAGTAGACAAGCAGTTTTCATTCACTTTAAATATAGGAGACAGTACATATAAGCGGGAGTGGGGCTCCGCCCCTCCCCCGCGACCCCTCCCCAAACAAATCCTAACCTAACCTAACTAATTGCATCTTTATGTATTTTTGGACATTGTTGAAAAAAGTTCTCTTAAGATCTATCACCTGGCTCAACCTAACTTATTATAATATCCTCATATAATTTTAGGTGTTGTGGCTTTTAAGGAAATCTTTTCAACAACATCGCCCAACAATATATAAAGATGCAATAAGTTAGGTTAGGTTAAGATTTTTTGGGAGAGAGGGGTGCGGGGGAGGGGCGAAGCCCTTCTCCCGCTTATATGTACTGTTTCCTATATTTCTGTGTATACACATTCTGTGTATGTTTGGATCAATTGTTTGAATTGTACTGTAAATAACGTCAGCTTATGATATCTAGAATTTAATTCCAGGATAATCAACATTCCAAACCTTTAAAATCAAATATCTCGGAAACTATAAGCGACCCCTATATAATTGTATTAGGAAAAGTCACTCAGAATTTCATCCTTTATAACATATTTCAAAATGAAAAAAACTCGGTGAAATGTACCCTTCTCTATATATTTACCCGAAAAAGAATCAACTGAATAGACAAGATACAGCGCGCGCAATTTCAAAATTCTCGTTACTTTTTGATCAAACCTCGTATAAGATTGTTTTTCGTACAGACTTCGGACACCGTATAAAACGTTCGAGAACGTTTGTGGTTTCGGGAGAGCATCGGCCGTGCGTCTCGTCGCTCCGAGAGACCGATCCGAGAATCAAGGTTCGGAAAAATGATTCGGAAGAGGACTCGCGATGATCTGAAATGTAAGGTCGAACGATGAGTAGCGCGCTAAAACTCTCTCTCTCTCTCTCTCTCTCTCTCTCTCTCTCTCTCTCTCTCTCTCGGACCGCATCTCGACACGCGTCGTCCGTCAAATATTAATCGCATCGTAACTTTCGGCGAACTTTACTACCTGAGAGGCTGACAATGAGAGGAAGAGAGAACGTCTCGCGTTCTTTGTCGGGCCGCGCGCCTCGACTCGAGAGTGTCCGCTTCGGGACGAGGAAATTGTCTCGCGAACGAACGACCTCGTGCGCGCACGCGCGGAGGAAACGGCGAGAGGCGTAAACGTATCTCGTGCGTGTCGAACGAAAAATTCCATTTCGCCGAAGCGCGAGTATTCACTGGCGCGTCGCCAATTCCATTTAGAGTCCTCGACACAACGCACTCGAGGACGCGCCCGCGGGCGGGCAGGATCGCGGAGATGGATCGTGATGGCCGTAGACCGTGGAGAGAGCGGAGGAGCTTAAAAGAGTCCGCTCGCTTTTTCGTAGGCATCGAAACGACGCTGGCTCGCCGCGTCGCGTCGCGTCGCGCGGCGAATCCAGCCTGGACCTGCGCCAATTTCGAAGCCGAACCCCCTTCGCCTCCGCGAAACTGCCACCGTTTCGGCGCTCTCGCCAGAAATCGCGGCCCCGCTTCCGCCCTCCTCCTCCTCCTCCTCCTCCTCCTCTTCCTCGTCGGGGATAAATCGTCGCGACGATGGCCTGCGCGATCATCATCGCGCCGTCGATCCTCGCCCGCCGGCGGCGATCTTCGACTATCGCTTCGAGCTTCCCGCTTACGCGAAAGCATCGTCTCGCGGACGACCGTGGGATTCGCGCCGGCTTCGACGACGGAGATCCGCGGGGCATTAGATCGATCCTGCCGTGAACACACGCGCAGGAGTTTCGCGGAATCCAGCCGGCGAAAGGACGCTTCAGCCTCGAATTTCGAAGATCCCGGCGAGATCTTTCTAGCGTGCTTTCGAAGCGCGAAAACGCCTCGCGCGCCTCGGCGGATGAAATTCCACGACGACGTTTCCTGGGGACGGAGAGATACATCGTGTGTAAATATTCGGTCAGCGACACGTTTCACCCTCTTCTGCTCGGTAAAAATCGACCGAGTAAGGACACTTTTCTTTCATTCCGTATTAACGCGGAAATGGTGGATGAGGAGGGGTGGGTGAACGGGAGAGGAGGAAGAGGAGAGACGAGAAGTTTGGTTTCCAAGAGGAGAACGGAGGGGGCACGGAAGTGACCTCGCAGTTCGCCGTTCGCACAGTTGTCGTGTAATCAACTTCTTGAAAAGCCGCCAAATTCGACTCAGGGATTTATAGGGACTTGCAGCTCTCCCGACGACAGCGAGGCGCGTCTTTGTTTACGAAGAACTTTTCCAAAAAGTGCTCGATTAACTATTTGTTACTCTTGGCTCTCGCAGCCGTCGGACGCAAAACGTCTCGTTAACGCGGACATTAGCAGCCTCCTCGTCCTTCTTCTCGCGTCGGAAGCCCGCGGCGGAAGCGTGAGGGAGCACTTGGAGGGAAAATTTCGGAAGAAAATCTCACGATCTTCGTCCGTCGAATGCCACGCCGCGCCGCGTACCGCGGGGTCGCGACGTGAGGGAAGAAGGGATGCGCCGCAAATGACAAAAATGCGAAACAATTCGACGGAAACGGAGATGAATCTCTTTCGAAGACCGGGAGAGGCGGATGGAGGAAGAGAGTGGAAAATGAAAAGCGCGCTGGCAGAAGATTAACGTATAGTTGACTTCGGATTTCGTCGTGTGGAGCGCGATTGTGAATCCGTTGGATTCGTGCCAATCTCCGCAGACATTGCCGAGCCACTATTTCCACTTTAACACGAGCCATGGTCCCCCCTCTCCGCTCCTCTCCAAATCATCCACCCTCTCGCGATTCCATCGCGGGGATTGCGAATTGTTTCGAACTAAGTTTCATTTCCTGAGAATGTTCGATGCCTTCCGCGAGTCGACCGCCGCGGCGCGCGTCGCTCGCGCGACACAGAGAGAGAGAGAGAGAGAGAGAGAGAGAGAGCGCCGTATTTCACCGATGCTATTGGATTTCAACAAACGGCAGATAAATAATTAATCGCTCACCTCCGCGGTGTCAGCTGGCGCCTGTTGAAATGTTCATTAGGCTCCTGTAAGCGGAGGATCTAAGCGATATAGTAATTTTGATTACGAACCGGCGCACGTAACTCGCCGATAAGGACGCTCCGTCCCGGCGGGAGTGAGATTATATCGTCGAGTCGAGTCGGAATAATATCTGTTCGGGTGTGAATCCGTGTCTCTCGAATTTTCATCGATCCTCCTCCGGCTTGATGAATAAACGACCGGGCAAATGAACCTCGGACCATAGCTCGACTCGATAATTCGGCGCGACATAAAAATTTGCTTAAATTTGTTAAAGCCCCGGGAAACGTGCTCGGTTTATTCGGCTTGTGGCCGTGATTTCTGTGCACGACCAAATTTGCTCAGTTACAAAAGCGAGGTTTTTGCCCCGGCGAGTTCTCTAAATTTGTCGAATTTGATAGGTCATTTTTTTCCCCCGCGGAGACAAGTACCGCGTTTTCATCATGACAATAACGTAATTCGATATGAACGCTCTCGTGGGAGAACGCTCGCGTGTGCAACGCGTTTCCGTTGCAAAAGTGCTCAAAGAGAAGGTGAGAGAGAGAGAGAGAGGGGGGGAGAGGGGGGAGAGAGAGAGAGAGAGAGAGAGAGAGAGAGAGAAAGAGAGAGAGAGAGGAGGCAGGGAGTCGGCGGGACTTGAAGTGACGCAATATTTTTCGCTAAATTTTCAACACGTGCGATTTCACTCGCGTCTCGCATTCCGCGCCGCGCCGGCACGGCGCAGGCATGGCGATGATTTGAAATTATTGCACGTTCCAGCTCATTCCTATCCTTCTATCACATTCTATTTATTGTTACGCTACCATTGTTGCGTTTCCATATGGCCCTATTTATTATTACGTTCCTATTGTTGCGCCTTGTTGAGGATTCCTGAGAGACCGCACGGGAGTATCTGCGCGGGAGAGCATTCCGCGGCTCATTCAG